CGAATGAATATTTAATATATTAAACGAAGATATATACGATAAAAGCCAGGATATTTTATTATATTGGAAAAATAACGAAAAAACGCTTTCCAATATTAAGTATATTAGCTAAAAAAATTTATTAATTCTAGTTACTTCGGCTGCAATCGAAGGGTTATTTTCTACCGCTACTAATATTATAACCCCAAGCCGTAATAAATTAAAATCGGAAACAAGCCGTAAAATATTATTATTAAAAAGCTGGAATATAAGCGATATATCGATTTTGCAAAAGGAATTGCAGCAAAAAAAAGAAGTTTCCAGCGAAAATAACGATTCGGAAAGTTAAATAAGTAAATTTATATATTAAATATAAATAATTACTGTTTTTATTGTTGTTTTTACTATTGCTTTTATTACTATTTTGTTATTTTTCTTTTTATTATTATATTATTGCTATCTTTACCGTTATTTTTACTGTTTTTTTTAAATATTTTTTACTTAGCTTCGTAATGCAGTAGCTTGACTAGCTTCGCACCAAGCCGGTCCCGCCAGGACCACGGGTTCGAATCCCGTCGAAACCACAAAAACTTTTTATTTTTAAAGCCCTTGGCCTGCCAGGATCGAAATCCGATAAAGGCCGATATGTTACGACCAACAACCACCCTCGGCCAGGAGGGAGGGGTGGCACGACACGGGAACCCCATGAGGGGTAAGGAGTTACGTAACCACCTGGGATTAGTGGATCAGGGAAGCAGGAGAGGTGAGCCACTAATCCAAAGGAGGCTCAGGAAGGCTCACGGAGTCGGCCTTATAAGCCAACTAATCCACGACCCCAAAGGGGTAGTCATTGGGGTATAAAAAGGAAAGGGTTTTTTATTGTCCTAAGTAGTGTTTGATTGAGGCTTCGGCATTAGTCAAACTTTAGTTAGCTTCCAAATAACCTTTGGAGCAAGCATTCAAACCGCACCCAGGTTACCTTGTAAATCCCTTTAATTTATCAAGTTACGTGCTACTGTTCGATATTCCTTTGGTGCTTTACCTTAGGAGCAAAGGCCTGATTGTAACACGATAAGCCAAATTAACCAATATTAACAACGCCGATAAACAACCGATACAATTACAATAACCTTATCAATTTCGATAGCAACCCCCTTACTTCCTTTACTTTTGCGCTACCGCTTTGCACCCGTTCGTTACCATTACTAATCCGATTTCGAATGCACCTTTTACGTGCTTGGCAAAGTTATTACCTTGCACGTACCATTAAATGTTAGGGTTTTTTAAAGCATAAAACAAAAAAAAATAACGCACGTAATGCACCGAATAAAAAAACGTTAATAGCGGGTTAGTAAAGGAAAAAAGCAAAAAAATAAAAAAAAGGGGGATAAAAAAAAGTTTTTAAATGCTTTAAACCATTTGGGCAAGCAAAATAAAATTAGCAATTTAAACCCCAAAGCGACAACGATTAAAGCCCGGCAAGCTTTAGCAAATTATATAACAAAGCAATTAACCAATTAATTACAAGCAAGCAGCACGCGGCTTTGTTAGCCCTTTGCAAAGGGGGCTGTACGCGGGAGGACGGTTAATTCCCGGGTAAAGCCCTTACGAGCAGTCGAGCGTGGAGAAAAGTAAGCGTTAGCCAAAGCGGTTTAACACCGTTACGGAAGCGTACCGTTAAAGAAGCGGGAACGCAGGCATAGGGTTTTTCCTCTTTAAGCCCAACCCAAAGGTTTTCCCCCATTTGCATATATATTTAAAAGCAGCACTGAAGTTTTTTTTATAAACATAACAGCGTATAAATAAATAAATAAATAAATATTTTTTACTTATAAATTTTCTTTGTTTTAATTGTTTTTATTATTAATTTTTTTTACTTTAAATCCAAATTTATTTAACGTTATATATATAACATAACTTTTTAAAAAAAATTGCAAAAATATGTAGAAATTTATGTAAACTTATGCAAAAATTTATGCAAAAATTGACTTAAAGTAACTTACTAAGTTAATTAAGTAAGTTAATTTTTTTTAAGTAAGTTATTAGTAAGTTATACCGGTAACTTTGACTGACTTACTTACAAAAGTTATAACTTTAACTTATAACTTTTGACTTAATTCCCAACCCTGCTTTTTATACCTGGACCGCTTGGTTTTGAATGCTACAAAAAGCCTTAATCCCTTTAATTAAAGCCGATAGCACCGATCGTTACTAAGCACCCTTTTGTTGCCCATAATTAGCTTATCCCCAATTGATTATTACTGATTAATCCTTAACCCCGATATTACGTAACTCCCCCCAGCTTGCTTTCTTCCTTTTAAAAAGGCGGGGTTTGCCACCCTCCACGGGCTGTTGGTCGTAACACCCCGTCGTTTTCAGCCCAAAGCTTTTTATCGACCTGGTTAGGTTAGTACGGGTATTTAAACCCGTTTTGCCAAGCTTTTACTTTTTGTATTATGTATGTTTTGCATTCCATTTTTTTGCATTTTTGCTAAACCAATACCTGTATTACGTAAAGCATAAAATAATAAGTACTTGGTTGGAATACTATGGTTTTTCCGTATTAATAACTAGCTATTTAACGGGGTAATTGCTATGCCAAACGTAATTTAATAATGGGCCCGTTGGTTTGCTGGTACGGGAAAAAATCGGGTTTTAATTTTTAAACCAAATGCATTAAATAATTAATATAGTAGCATTTAGCCCAAAAAAGCTATAAATAATTTTGGTAGCTAAAGCTTATGCTATTATAATTTCCGTTTTGCGGGTTATCGCGCAACCGGTCCGTTTAATTTCGTTCGTAAGCTATTAGCTTAAAATGTTTTTAGTAAAATACTTTTTAAAGCATTTTTTTGCTAAATTAATTTATAAATTTTTTATAATCGTTGTTGGCGGGAATAACCTTGTATAAAGTGCCGTTTTTATTTAGTAATTTTATATTTTAAAAGCACTTTTGCATTTAAGCTTTATTTTAAACATATATTTTGTTGGCAAAAAGGTTGTTGGTTAAACGGGGGCGTGCCAAAAAAAATTTATCTTTTAAAGCAAAAGTAATAGCTTTTTTTAACGTATAAGCGTTTTTGCTTTTGCAATTTTAAAGTAATAGCAATTGTTCCTTTTTAAGTTTTTTTATTTTGCGTATTGCTAAAAGCTTTAAACGTTTACGCTCCGTAAGCCTTTTTTTTTAATAATTTCGAAATATCCTTTTGGTATAAGCGCATTCCAGCTAAACCATAATTATGTTTAACTTTTGTACGTACTAACGGAAATTGCCCGTGCTTTCGTTTTTGCTATTATTGAACGGGTTATACGTAAACGCTACCCGTTTTTTAAACTTTGAGGCTGGCGTTGGTTTCGGCAACGCGTTTTCCTTTTTTCGAGGTTAACCAATTCCGGAACCGGGCTATTGCTAAACCCGTTTTTAGCCATTGCTACGTTTATATCGCTATTAAACCTTAGCTTTTCGGTAATTTGGGTAAGCTAATTAAAAATGCTAAATTTAACTTACAACTCCGGGTTTGGTTTAGCTTAAGCGGCGCCATCGCTTGCTTTTAAATTTTATACCAACGAATTCGAAACCCCTTTTTATTTTGCGGCTTTTACTAAATTTTTAAACGATAGTAATTATAAATTTAATCTTTTTTAATATATTGGTTAATTTAAGCTTAATTACTTTCGGCGTTTAAATTTATAAAGTTATTGCGTTAAAATATAAAAGGTATTTTTCGTTTGGTTATTGCCAAACGCTTTCGAAAGTAATACCCCGTAGCGTTTTTATCGAATTTGTATATAACGCAGTTATTGTAATTGCACGTGGTTTAAAAAAAGTAAAACCGAAACATTTATTATTTTCTGGCTCGAACGTTTCCTTTTTAATAGCTATTGCTTATTAAGGTTTATCCAACCAATTAATTTATTTTTTTTACTTTTGCTATTTAAAGCAATCCTTTTTAATGTATTTTGATTTGCCGCATTTGCCGCATTTTCCATTTTTAAAATTTTAAAATTTGCGTTTTCCATTGCTTTAATGCGTAGCCTTTGCATTAAAATCCATAAAGTTTAAATGAAACCCGTAAATCATAATTTTGTTGCAATTAAATCGTTGCTGCGGTTTATTGTTTTATATTACAAGCTTGGTTTTTTGGCTTTTTTTTTCCAAACGTTATTCGTATAAGTAATTGCTAGTTTGAATTGCTATAATAACGTATTTAATAAAATAATTAAATTTATTAACTTTGGAAATTTCGGTTTTTACGTTATTTCGGAATTCGTTGTAAAAATAAGCGATTTTGGTTTGGTTGGTCCAATTAAATTTGTTAATAAAGCGTTAAAATTTGGAAACGTACCCCAAAACCGCGCTTTTTTATTTAAATTAAAATAGGTTTCGCTTTATTATTCGTTATTTATTAATTTAACCAAAAACGCTAATTACTTTTTTTTAAAAAAAGCCAAAATTAGCGAAAATAATTTTGGTTTTTGTTTTGCTTTAATTGTAATTTTTAAAAAAGGTTGCTTATACGGGCTTAAATTACCTTTTTAACTTTACCGTTAAAACGAATGGTTGCATAAACTACCTTTTATTTTTTAGTAACAAATTAAATTTGGTAAAAAGCAAAATACCCCCGGCATTTAATAAAAAATGCTTTAAAAATGCTTTTTTTGCTTTTGTACCGGTTAAAAGTAAGGAATTTATAAGCTTTAACCGCCGTATACAAAATGCTAACCCGGTTTTTTTATACGGTAATTTCCGTAACGAAAGTTTCGAAAGCAAATTTAGTATGCGCTGCATTATTTATGTCGTACTTTTTGCTTCCGTACCGAAATACGTTTTTTTCCGCGGTAACTGCGGCAAACGTTGTAACAGGTCCGGTTGTAATTGCTATTGTTATTGCTTGGTATTAATCGGGTGCTAAATAAAATTAGTTAAAATATTACAATTAAACCTTTGCTTTTAAAGTAAAGCATTAAAAAGTACTAAATAGTAACACGTAATTTAATAATTAAAAGGATTTACAAAATAACTTAAATGCGGTTTAAATGCTTGCTTTAAGGGTTACTTAAAAGCTAATTTAAATTAATTAATGCCAAAACTTTAGTTAAAAACTATTTAAAACGGTAAAAAATCCTTTCATTTTTATACCTTGTTTTTAAAGTAAGCATTTGTTTTGCTTGGAAGTTAATATTTGCAATCCTTTAAATATTGTAAGTATCGGTAATATTGTTAATACCTTTAGTATTAAGCGTATTACCTTCTTGTTACGTAATGGTGCGGGGTAGCCCCTTGTCCTGGGCTGTTAGCCCTCGCCCGCTTATCTTCTTGTCGGTCGTATTCGTTGGTTGTAACATTAGTACCATAATATTTTTTAATTACAATTGCAAATCCGCTATAACCGTTAATTTACGTTGTTTTTAATAAGCTATTTGGTTGGGCGGGAAGGATTTTATTAATGCCGGAAAAGTTGCTCGTTCCGTACGTTTTTCGTTATAATCCGCCATTCCGCAAAAAAAGATTTCGTAAAAATGTAATAAATTAAACCACCAAATAGTGCCCGGTAAGTGCCAAAATGTTATTATTTTACGAAATAAGGAAAAAAAATGAGAAAATTGGGTCCTTATTTTTAAAGGATTTGGGGTAATTTTTATATACATAAGTTTTAACCCAAAAAGGCACCCTTTGGGTTACGTAATCCGTGCCCAGCACGGATCCATAACATAAACGGGGTTTGCCCCCGTTGTAAACGGTTTAACGTTAAAATTTTTATTTTTAAATACGAAACCGTTATTGCATGCAGTTTAAATTGCAGCGGGAAATATAATTTTAATAAATACCGTAGCGTATTTTTAAAATGCCGGGCGTTTTACATATAAATAAAATTAATTTTTGCTTTAATATTTTGCGTTTTAAATTTTTATGGAATTGCATTGTTATTATTAACGGCGATTTATTATATATTTTTAATTATTAAGTTATAAATTTGAGTTTAATGCGTTATTTTGCTTTCGATCATTTTAGCAATTTATATGGTATTTTTTTTTTTTTTTTTTTAAGCCTCGTAATGCAATGGCTCTGCACCAAGCTGGTCCCGCCAAAACCACGGGTTCGAATCCCGTCGAAACCACAAAAGACTTTTTATTCCTTAACCGCCCGCCTTGCTAAGCCGAAAAAAAAAAGGGGCCGCCCCGCTAACGGGCTTTGCCCAAATTAATTTTTACCCACGCACAATTAATTAACAATTCCAATAATTAATTCGATTTTAACCTTTCCAACCCTAACCTTTCCTAGCCTTTTTCGCACCATTTCGAAAGTTTAAAATGCAAAAGGTTAAATTAAAAAAAAGGTAACGGAAAAGCTTTTGGAAAGGCCCAACTTTACCCCAACGAACGCACGCACAAACCGACGAATTCGATTACCATCCCTTTTTTTTTTAAATATTAGCTACAAGCTTTAACCTTTTTGCAGCTTTTAGCCCCAATCCCAACCTTACCGCCTTAAATAACCCAAAACGCAAAAAGCCAAACCAATAAAACGGTAACGGGAAGGAAAAGGGCTAGGTGCTAAAAAAACCAGGTTAAATGCGTGGAAAAGCCTTTTAAACGCTTTAAATAAATTTAAACAAAAAAACCGGCAAAAAACCCTTTTAACCAAAATGGATCCAATTTGTAACCCCCCGGCAAAAAGGCCAATTTAACAAATTAAATAATAAATTAACTAATTAACCATAAGCAAGCAGAACGCGGCTTTATCGGCTTTTTGCAAAAGGGGTTGCACGCGGGAAAACGGTTAATTCCCGGGTAAAGCTTTTACGAACAATTAAGCGTGGAAAAAAGTAAGCGTTAATTAAAACGGTTTAATATCGCTACGAAAGCGCACCGCCAAAAAAGCGAAAACGCAAGCATAAGGTTTTTCCTTTTTAGGCCCAACCCAAAGGTTTTCCCCCATTTGCATGTATTTAGCCGCAGCATTAAAGTTTTTTTTATAAACATAATAGCGTATAAATACACATATGGTATTTTTTATATATTTAATTACGGTTATATAAAAAGCTACCATTACGTTACCGTTTAAAATTTTGCAAATTGCTTTTACATTATTGCTAAGCTTTTTTATTAACGTAATTATAATTTTAACGAATATGCGGTTTGTAATTTTAAAAGGCGCGTTTTTAATTAAAATTGTAATTTCGCGCTTAATGCGCGCGGGAATGTATTTTGGAAAAAGGGGAGGCTGGTATTAAAATACGCGTAAAAGCGGATTGTAAGCGGGTAACCGCCGGTTTAACCGTTTTACAACAAATTAACGGTTAAAATTAAAGCGTAATTAACGGTTTGCTTGCAAACGTTGCGTATTTTAACAATAGTTTTATTTTTTATAATGCAAAGCTAATTAAGCATACAATTGCAATAATTGCGGGTTTGCGTTTTTAACGCGTTTATTACGGTTTTAATCCATTTATTTTTACAATTTTAAATATTAATTTAATATTGCGAAAAGGTATAAAAAGCTTTAAATATTTAATTAATTAATTTTTTAAATTTACAATGCTGGCGCATTAAAAAAGGGTTGGGGGCATTGGTTATAGTAACGTTGTTGCTAGAGTTAAGGCGGCCGGTAACCGCTCCGTCGCTTTCGGGGCTGCCAGCGGCGCTAGCAGCGGCGCCGGAAGCGCGCTCGCGCGCTAACATACGTTCGGTTGCAAGCCGGGGGCGAAAAGTTTAAATTTAATGTTAAATTTGTTGTAGCTAATAGCGTTTTCCCGTTGCGAAGTTAAGGAAGCAAAAGCGCTTTTAGTTTTAATTTAACGTATTAAACGAATTTTGGAATACTTTTATTAGCCGTAATGTTTATTTTTTTATTAATTAATTACCTTTTTTTTTGCAAATTCCATCGTTGTAATAATTAATTAAAGTTTTTTTTATATTTGCAGTTGGTTTTTATTTCGGTTGTTGCTGGTTTGTAAAATTCCCGTTGCGTATTGCGTATTTCAATTGGTTTAAGCTTATTACCTTTTCCATCAGCGCCGCAACGGCGCGTTAAGGTATTATTAAGCCTGTTTAGCCTTTAAGCAAATTAGCGTTTCCGGTTTTCGTAATAAGTTTAATTTTTTAATTAGTTGTTGTCGTTATCGCGCGCGGGTAAAAACGGGTTTTTTCATTAATTAATTATAATTAAAGCGCAACTTGCGGCTTTACCAGCCTTTTGCAAAAAGGGCTGCATTTAAAAAAACGGTTAATTCCCGAATGGAGCTTTTACAAGCAATTAAGTGGAGGAGAAAAGTAAGCGCGGCTACCGGTTTAACACCGTTACGGAAGCGCAACACTGTAAAAGCCGTACGCAAGCACAAGGTTTTCCCTTTTAAACTTAACCCAAGGGTTTTTCCTTACGCATGTACTAAGTAAAAGCTTTAAAGTTTCTTTTATAAATAAAGCAGCGTATAAATATATATATACGTATATAAATTATTTAATTTTGGAAAACCTGTATACAGTCGTAAAAAAAAAACATAAAAAAGCAATGCTTTTATAGTAAAAAAGTTTTAAATCCTTGCTTTATTTATCCCGAATTACTGTAATTATACCGTAATTTTTTTAATTGCCGTTGCAAGTCCGGTATAATTATAAACTTGCATTATTTTTAATAAATTGCTTAATTTAGCAAGAGGGATTTTATTAATACATTAAAATACTTACGAAAACGACGCGGAGTAGAAGATACCTCGAAGGGAAGGAGTTTTTACCCGGCTTTACACCAAACAGCTGTCGGCTGGAAGCACGGTTTTTACCTTTAAATAGCTACCCCGATCCGTAATGCTCCCCATGGGCTATACAGCTCGAAAGGGGTAAATAAATTTATATAATACATTAAAAATTGTTTGTTTTGTAAGTTTTCCGCTATAATTCGTTATTTTGCAAAAAAAAAATCGTAAAAATGTAGTAAGTTAATTTACCAAGTAATGCTTAACGGGTACTAAAGTAATAGTATTTTACGAAATAAGGAAAAAAGGAAAAAGTTAAGTTTTTATCTTTAACGGATTTAGGGTAATTCTTATATATATAAATCCTAACTTAAAGGGGTACCCTTTGGGTTACGTAATCCGTGCTTAGCACAGTGTTACAGTTAGGCCTTTGCTCTTAAGGTAAGGCACCAAAGGAATATCGAACAATAGCACGTAATTTAACAAATTAAAGGGATTTACAAGGTAACCTGGGTGCGGTTTAAATGCTTGCTCCAAAGGTTGCTTAAAAGCTAACTAAAATTTAACTAATGCCAAAGCCTTAGTTAAAAATTACTTAGGACAGTAAAAAACCTCCTTTTTATATACCTTGGCT